GAATAAATTGAGAATAAGAAATATTAGCCAAGACTTTCATTAACGAGATTGATCACGACCTATCAAAAATACACCTTTTTTACTATACAACTTCTTTTGTAGGTACGACCATTTTTAGTTTTAAAACGTAAATTTTAAATTGAAACTTTAAAACAAGCCAATATATTTATTTATAAAACGAACAAACACAACAATACTAACTCGCGTAAAAATACCACAAGCAGGAATTTAGTATAAAAAACAATAAAAATGAAATAAATACATATGAAAGGAATAACTAATAAGATTTGAGTATATCTTTTGCATAATGTTTTAGCCCATCAGGTGTGTTTTACTACCGTCATAGGCACTGAAAACAGGTAAACGAGTAATACATGTAATATGTTATATGGCATATCATGTCACTTTACCTTTAACCTTTTAATGTAACATATGGTTTGAAATAATTCACCGTTCTTTTTTTTTTTGGCTTCCTCATAACTGTAAATTGGAATATATCCCAAGTTTCCAGCGGTACTTTCATATCTATTATATACTTTTGATATGACGCTGAGGATCAAATACAGAATGTATAATAAGTTGATAAAAAAAAAACAAAAACAAAAAACACATCTCAGTCCCGGACACCAGGTTAAGTAAAACTCAACATTTATTTGAGTTTTTACTGCCGTATTCATGGAATATTCAATGTTAAAAATTTGTGTCATTCCAGGAAAAACGGCTTATTACGGTAAAAACCTAAGATTCTTTGCTCGAAAGGAGGTAGGCGCATAAACCTTCAAGAACAGAAATTCAAAAGTTCCTGTGGTTATTTATTTTCCTGGCGACAATAATATTAACACCATGTTTTTGTATGACGCCATTAATTGGAAATAATGTAATAATTGCTAGAACCACTCGTTCTTACTTCAGAGTGATTGTAAGGTATCTACCAGTATCCATTTACATAATTATAACACTAATATATTGACAAGTACAAATTTATGGCGACATGACATTTACATGTATGTTGAGGTTTTACACTGTGTTAGAAATTGTTATCTAATCTGTTTTCTACTAGTGTTATGTGGTGATACAACTTTTATGCTGCTTTCAACTCGAGTGCATTTAGTGTTTTTCTTAAATAACCTGTATCAGTTACCCCTGGTAATTTAAATATTTGGTTTAGAAATGTTGTTTAAGTCTGTACATAATGCTTAGTAGTCTCTTAAAATTCGGCTTTAGAAAGGCTATGTGCAATGTATATTATGTATAGATGTTATGAATTGTACAACAATGAGACTTAAATAAAATATTAAATAAAATGTTTCTCGAAAACTATTTAAAGCTGTTATCAAGGTAATTTACTGATGTAATAAGCATAATTTGAGATACTCTGGTTTGGTTGTAAGAACTCTCACAGAATCTCGACTCGAAAACAATAAGTTGTATTGTATAAAATATGTAACAATTTTTTAAAAGGAAAACATTCAGAACAAAGGAATCTAATTTATGTCTTCATGCCAATTTCATTTTCCTAATCTTAATTATATAACTCGTTAAGTTATCGTATTTAGCGATGCTGCTCGACATCCTGTACGATACACGTCTTTCAAAAAATCTTTATAAGTGATAGCAATTTAGTTTTTTTCAACAGGAAATTAACACAATATTTATGACATTGTTAGATATGAAATGAGCTGTAAAATAAGTCACATAATATTGATTGCAAATTTCATTAATAATCCGATATTCAGCCGTAAAAAGCATACGTTTTTCTTAGATCCCCTGTAAAAGAACATGAACCTTTTATAATCTGCCTTCTGGAATTTCTTATTTTTACTATCTGCCTTCAGTTAAATGGGTTCACACCTTTTTACTATCTGCCACCAGCTGCCCCCAATTATATTGATTCATGCTTTTTCACATTTTGCCTTCAGTTATATGGGTTCACACATTTTTCACATTCTGCCTCCAGTCATATGGGTTCACACATTTTACTATCTACCCCCAGTTATATGGATTCACTTCTTTTTTAAATTATGCCTCCAGTTCAATGGGTTCACATCTTTTTTACTATCTGCCTCAAGTTAGATAGATTCTAACATTTTTTACTATCTGCATCCAGTTATATGGGTTCACACTTTTTTTTACTATCTGCCTCCAGTTTTATGGGTTCACAATCTGCCTCTCGTTGTATGGGTTCACACCTTTTAACTATCTGCCTCCAATTATATGGGTTCAAACCTGTTTATTCTCTGCCTCCAGTTATATAGGTTAACACCTCTTTACAATATGCTCAAAAGAAATATTTTTAAAGATGAATACATGTTAGCACATTAAATACACGTTTGATGCAATGAAATGTTTATTTGGTCCATTTGAAGTCTTTTACATTGCATACATTAGCAAAGTTTCAGTTTATACTTTTGAAAAAATATATATACAGTATTTCCTAGAACAATGCATAACCGTTATGTTTGTACTAGACAGATCTTTGACATGGGATACATTTTTGAGATTTATGAACAAAAAAAGCAGAGACTTTAAAGTGAATTGGAAGGGGAAGGTATGTTATACAAGAAATGATAACGTTGACAGTAATAAGTATCAGACATAAATACAAACCACGAAAGAATTATACCGGTATAAAAATGTGTCTGGCAAGTGTGACATTCATGATCCAATATTACATACATGTTTAATCTTTATAGCAGATCATAAATCGAACAAATAGAACAAAATATTATTATTCGTCAAATAAATGTTCGAACTATATCACTTGGAACTTTATCAACATTTATTTTTATAAGTAATAAGTAATATTTTTATAAGAATATCCAATGATACATTTCTATTGTTTTTAATACTTTTTATCAACAATTGAAATACTAACGTATAATGCCCACTGTAGACTAATTTTGTTTTATGTAAAAAATACGATTGAAATCATATTAAAAGTAATTTATTTGAATAGCAGAAAAAGGAAAATTTTTGTGTATTTTAAGTTTTTTTTCAAGATCGTTTTGCTTAAGCATATATATAATATTACGAATATTATGAATTATCTGGTGTCTGTCATGTATTTTGCTTGAATGTCATCATATGTCTGAATCATTTCTATTTTCATTGTGTACTTTAGCGTATGTTTTTTAAGCAAATTAAATTAAATAAGGTATGTATCATGACTTGATTGTGCGTTTTATAATATTACTTTGCTTAATTGAATTGTTTTTTTTTTGCAAGACTTCATATCGAGCCAATTTTGTCAACGTTTTTTGAAGAACAATCGAAACGTATATATTAGCTAGTTCATTACAAAATTATTAAAGTTATTTCATTTTTTATTCTGTTGATCTACAGACAAAAAAAGCAACAACAAAAAAATTGTCAAAAATGATGCTATAATAAATGACAACAATTTTCTACTTTTATGAAGGAAAAAAGTAAGTATATATGTGACCCTAATAAATTTTGTTTCTTACATATCTATAAATAATCTATTATAAATCATTGATCTGTTTATTTGTATTTATAATGTAAAGTCTGGAGGCACCCCAGTTTCGCACAAAGATATAATTGTGACGATTGTCACTAGTAATGATCATAATATGTAAGTAACGATCAATTAATATAGTCGCAAATTATGAAATATAGAACTTAGTGAATACGGTGCAATGGCTACGATTATCACCTTTCACGTTAACCTTAGTAAAAAATCATGAAAGGATGGACATAAAGTAATACGTCATTCAAGTGAAAATGTGCTTATAACATGAATCCAGCAGATATGGGTGTTGTTGGCAAATGTGACAGTAATCGGTCGAACATCTGTCTCTAATATATTCGTTCATGATCAGTTTAACACTAAAATATGCACGTAAAAAATTATTAGCTTTTATAAAGTACTTTCAATTGTCATAATTTTGCCATGAAATAATGATCGTTTCAACTTGATCTTCTCGGTTTGAATAAAGTATGTTAGGTAGAAAAGTAATTACATGTAAATTATCTTATTTTCTGTTGTTTTGTTGATGTTTCTTTTTTCAAATGCTCGTACTATTTTTATATTAAAAGTACAAGATCGTAAACTGTACGAATAATTGAATCATACATTTACTATTAAATTGTAGAAGTTTAATGTTAACAACATTTATAACAACACAAAACTGAAGAGCATATAACTAATACATACGTTTTTAAAAAAGGTCTGCTGGTTTCCTTGCCGGTAGTCGTTTGTTGCTAGGTTTAGTGGGGGTTGTGTTCCTTGACGATCTTTTTCATATTTTATTGTTTTTGGTGTTAGTATTACGTATAACTAACAAACTTAGCCCTTTTCTCTTTACACATACCATTTTTACTAAAATAAATGTTTTTGTCAATCAAATGATAGTAACGTTATACATTGAATAAAGATAATTAATAAACTGATGCCTAAAATTCATTTTATGAATAAATAATGCGTTTGTTATTGATTATTTTACTGTAAAGATGTCTCAATTTAATTAGAAATATACTATATATACTACATAATATACTAGATAGAACTTCGGACCATATAAGCAGTAACCTGTCATAACAAATGGCTGGGTGAACATGATATAACAACATTTGCAAGCTAGCGTTGGAAGATTTTAGGTCCTCCGGAAATTATTTCAGGCAATAGCGGGCATACTAATAAAGATGATAAACGATCAAATTCTAGGCGGGTAACTTAATCACGTCAAATGTCCAAAGTATCGTGCGGGGTTTAAAATCAAAGATATAAGGGGCGAGTGATCCAAATTAAGCGTCAAAAAATAAATTGGCTTCGGAGGTCCCTATTTAAAGGAATTGAGTAAACCGGCGCAAATATAACAGACCAGACATAATTTTTTGATTATTTGATTTCCCTACTCGAGTTTCAACTGGATGCAATCTGATAACCAATAGATATTGCTTTTCTCAGGTAAGTTGTCGTTCCTCATATTAACAGTGGTGTTAAAATGATATTCGATAATATATAATGAGCGTTTCTCATGCTTAGATGGGAATTCACTGGTTCATTCCAAAGTATTCGAAGCCATGGAAACTATAAAATTCAAACTATCAATGCAGGTTTGTATTAAATTATTTAAATCGAAAACATTTTCAAATAGGATTTTAAAATGTAAAATTTAAATCTTAGATATTATATACTTTAAACTTTTTCAATAATTCAATTTGATGATGCTAAATATATGGAAGTTTTGTATGTATGCAATATGTTGATGGAATATGGAATTGGCGTGGGTTGATCTAATCATTTTTGTTGTTACAAGTAACGTAAAAATGTACGATTTACTCATATGACAAATATGCTGATATTTAATGCTTTTCTATTATAATTTAAAATCTTTTTTTCTATTACAATTTATCTACTTGACATACAAAAGTATACATAGTTTGTGGAGACAATAAACTCGCAAAGTTTTAATTTTTTTTTTTATAAAACGTCATGAATTAAGTTTATTTTATCATTTAAAATTAGCTGTGTGCTTTTAATATAGAAGATATCAAGTAATACGATAATGCTATCTTGTTTAATGGCAGAAAGAGGAAATTTACTTTGTTTATTACTGACACAGGTTCCTAAGATTGTATTGTATTTAAACATAAAGATTTAATTGCATTAAAAATAAAGATAGTATTGCCTAAACAAAATATTAAGATAGTATTCCCTTAACAAAAATGTAAAGATTGCATTGTCTTAACAAAAATATAAAGATGAGTATTGCTTTGACAAAAATTTTAAAGATTTTATTGGTGTAACAAAAAGGTAAAGATTGTATTGCTTTGACAATAATAGAAATACTTTATTGCCTAAATGAAAATATAAATATGTCATTGCCTTAATAAAAAGCCAAGACAGTATTGCCTAAACAAAACTTTAAATATTGTTTTGCCTAAACAAAGAATATAAATATTGCATGGTACATGTACATGTATTAACAAAAATGTAAATATGCTATTGCCTTTACAAACTATACAAATTGTATTGCTTGAACAAACTAAGAACAATTGCAATGAATTTCAAAAAAAAAATAGAAAGATGCTTTTGCCTTTACAAAAAACATAAAGATGCTTTTGCCTAATACATTGTAAAATATTTATCATTAATTGTATCAGCTAAAGAAAAATATAAAATAATACTTGCAATCATTAAATAAATAAATCTTTTTGAATACTGCAAAACTTGCTTTGGATAGTTCTTCAAATATTTCTTTTTCAGACATAACGAATGGTGTTGTTTCTTTTGTCATCTTATTAAATTAATTAGTAATTAAATTCGTGGCTTCGGCAACATTAACAGTACATTCATTTCATTTGAACAATGTTATCAATGCATATAACAAATATTGGTATCTATTTTTATTGCAGCATAACTTAATCCTCGTTTCCTCTATGCTTATCATTTTATGTGCAATAATTCCAAGTGTATCAACACGACCAACAGACACGGATAATGGGGATAACATTAAACTTAGAAAACGCCCTTCACTTGCTAATATCAGACATAGTATTCACGAATTGGAACAAATTGAAAGATACTACCAGCAACTTCTTATACGAGGATATCTTCAAGATAGTGATCTTCGTCGATTAGGTAAAGTCAGCAAATTATGAAAGTAAAAAAACTGTTATATCAATTAATTTCTTTGTACCTGGTTGGATTTCTTTTTTTTTTGTAGAGGATACTGAACAAAAGTTATGAATTTTTGAAAGTAATCAAAAGATAAAAAACACTACAGAAGCTATCTTATGCAGAACTTATTTCTAAACAATATGCTAAGGAAGAAAAAACCTCAATGTAACTTTAATACCGACAAAGTTATCAAGAGACTTACCCGTACCACTGGTATCTAAGCCATATATTTTTAATATTCTGGCCTTAGCTTGCATAAATTACCACAACCATTATTAACAGGTTTAATCAAACCAAGATTCCAACAGTTTCAACTTTGTTGTGTTGTGCTTTCCTAAGAGTCTCTATTTTATCTATTTTAGCATTCAAGCATTCTTGCCTAAACCTCTGTAATCTAAAATTATAGTCTGAACATGTTGACGGTAGCTTCCATTTACCACTACCTTCCGAACATGTTGACGGGAGCTTCCAGTCAACACTTCCGTCCGAACATGTTGACGGTAGCTTCAATTTAACACTACCGTCCGAACATGTTGAGAGTACCTTCCACCTAATACTACCGTCCGTCCGAACATGTTGACGGTAGCTTCCATTTACCACTACCTTCCGAACATGTTGACGGTAGCTTCCATTTAACACTACCTTCCGAACATGTTGAGAGTAGCTTCCACCTTATACTACCGTCCGAACATGTTGACGAAAGCTTCCATTTACCACTACCTTCCGAACATGTTAACGGTAGCTTCCATTTACCACTACCTTCCGAACGTGTTGACGGTAGCTTCCATTTACCACTACCTTCCGAACGTGTTGACGGTAGCTTCCATTTAACACTACTGTCCGAACATGTTGAGAGTAGCTTCCACCTAATACTACGGTCCGAACATGTTGACGGTAGCTTCCATTTACCACTTCTATTCATACAACAGGCTTATTCAAACTAACGCTTTTCTTTATAAATATGTTACTTATTATTATCACAAATAACAAGCAGTGTTTCTTTTGTTTTTCAGAACTTTTGCAAGAATTTATCGAGCTATTGAGGAATCGTTTACGTGCTCTTACTATCCAGGAACAAAGCTAACATTGATGTACTCAAATAGTGAAATCAATGAAACGTCGACAGAAAATTTAGATTATATAGTAGCCAATTATTGTGATATTTGTATCATAGTGCAATCATTTCATATGTCATCTATTTCAGTCAAGAATTTCGCAAATCTGATGTAATGGAATACGATATTATTATACTTTGTAATAAAGTTGGGTATATGCCGATTGTAATCTCCATGAATATGAATCAGACATGATGGTAAAAGCAGCATGCCTCCATAATTGTAATGGTTATGAAATATTTCAACTTTGTTTTTCATTAAATCAATTATAGACAGCATTTCCGCTAAATATCTAGAGTCGATGAGCATTCAAATAAGTGATAAACCAAAAGTTGTTTTTCTGTTTGTAGTTTGTAAACTGATCTTCTATGATGTAAGGAACGGCTTATCACTATGTTTGCAGTATGCATTATTTACTTTCCATTGCTTCGTTCATTTGTTCCATATTTATTTTTCTTATTTTTCTTTTGGTTTAATTTGTTCAGTTCATTTCATCCATATTAAAGCTTTATTTAATTTGGTTGTTGATGATGATAAATTGATTAAACTCTTTGCAATACATCCTATTGTTCATTTTCTTTCCTTAACATACTTTAAAAAAAACACAGGCGGATCTGTGCATGTAAGGGATCATGTAGAACAATCTTTGTATGTATATCTCAAAGGTAAACCGACATCGCCTTCTTACATCTGCCAACAGCAAGAAACATATTAATTTTTCTATGTGGACGAAGCAGAATATTTCAAGACGTCATCAAAATATTATTTGCAAAGCCCTCATAATTATTCAAATATTTATGTTGAAGACTTTTCAAATATTGCAAAACATGTGTCATATTTCGCACAACATAGTATTCGTCCCATTTTTCCTTTTGAAAAAAATAAACTGAAACAAGCATTATGTAAATAAATATTAATTTGGCTAGATTGGTACGATTAAATACTTACAAGTCGAAAAAAGGGGAAATAATTTTTTACCTTTTCATTTTGAAGTAAAAGCATTTTTATAAGATAATTACTCATGTAGAGATTAAGTGATTACTAGTATCTGATTATTCTTCTAGTTTTCGCTTTAACCTGATTTTAATGATTATAAGAAAATGTTTTATAGCATTACAATGTTGAAATTTTCATTTTCTTTCCATAGTTACAAGAAACATGAACTAGGCATAGTCGAGACTCGGACTCCGGATTCGCAGCGACATGTTTCATAGAAATTCCTTAATGTATACTAGGTCATAGGGTGTAAGATCAACCTTAGGACTAACTTAAGACCGTTTTATGAGCATTTTTATCTTAAGTTGTAGACTTAAGATATTAATTGCATTGATTTTTCATGAGAATAATTAAGAACTACATTGGCACGCGCTTAAATCCATGAGGTGATCATGTTCCGCTTTATTGCTTTTCAGAAATCTAATGAGTCTAAGTTTAAACATTTTCTTTGAAATGCAAATCTTTCTTGTTTTGGTTCTGAGACTGCCTTTACCCACTAGAGGCGCTAATTAGCCATATAAAAGATTATACTGTAGTGAAAACACTATTCGTGACGAGTAAAATATATTCAATTTTCATTACAAAAGATGAAGTTTATTTGTTTGTAAATATTCTTATTATGTTAAGCATCGATTCACAGCGTTAGCATTTTTATATCTATAACTAGAATGTTCTGCTCAGTTTGCCCTATCATTTGATACAGATTATATTTGAGTTTCAATTAAAAACAAGAGCGATCAGGAATCACATGTATCGCCTGATGATAACAATTTTTTTTAACTGAAAAACCCATTAAATTTGCACAACTACTTGAGGTAGCTATCAATCCTTTTAAGTTTCATTCAAATTGCTTTAATTGCATAAATATTTCCGGTTCTTAAAAAATAAATAAAAATTAAACCGTTATATAAAAGACTAAAACTCTGACAAAAACATTGCTTACGATATGCACAACTAGACTCGATTCTGAAGAGTTGGATGAAATTGCACCAGTGGTTCTTTAGGAATAGTCTGGACAAGTTTTTTGATAAATGGACAGACAGACGAGATAGAAAGGGTCCCTATATGTCGCCGCTACACTGTAACAGGCGATACAAAAACAATCAAAAGAAAGAAAACAGTAAATCAAAATACATTTATTTCAATAGATAAGTATGTGCTAGGAAATCAAATAAATTACATATGTAAATGTGTAATGTTATTTTATCACTTTAACTCGTTGCAACATACAACGAATAAAATAGTCTCAAAGCTCATGTACTTAGAGAGAGAGATCAAGACTTATAATTTCTATAATGTCAACTGATCACTTTGGTTCGTTGTAAAAGATGATGAACAAAATTTCACAAAAATTCACAATACGCTTCTACTTATCTATTTGGAGGAAAATGACAATAATAAAAATATGAATTATGTAATTAAAAAAATCTAAAAGCGGCCTCCAGCTTTCCTAAAGGTTAAATATGTTATTCAATTGTTGTTTATATCATTCTTATGATAATATGTGAGAATATCAAGATTTTCATTAATAAAATTCTGTACAATCATGATTGATTATAGGATATCGATAGGATTGTCTGATGATTAAGACAATAATTCATCATTTGTGTGAAGTAAAACTCTCCGTTTACACTTCGATCATCATAATAACATTTTAACACAGTTTTTAAGATAAGGATTCAAGGAAATTGTAAGATTGCCATACGCATAATTATTCTATCAACAAAATAGTCATTCTTCGCCAAACCAGTGCGATTTATTACAATATTTTCCATTAATAAAATGTCTTTTTTAGAGAATTAATTGAGCATAAGAAAAATTAGTCAAGACTTTCAATAACGAGATTGATCACGACCTATTAAAGATACACCTTTTTTATTTTACAATTCAATCAATTTCTTTTGTAGTTTCGACCATTTTTAGTTTTAAAACTATAATTTTAAATTTAAACTGTAAAAAAGGCCAATATATTTATTTATAAAACAAAAAAAACCCACAAAAATATGAACTCGTGTACAAATACCACAAGCAGGAATTTAGTATAAAAACAATAAAAATGAAATAAATACATATGAAAGAAATCAACTTATAAAATTTGAGTATATCTTTTGCATAATGTTCTAGCCCATCAGGTGCGTTTTACTACCGTCATTGGCACTGAAAACATATAAACGCGTAATGAGTACATGGCACATCACGTCACTTTACCCTTAACCTTTTGATGTGACATATGGGTTGAAATAATTTACCGTTCTTGTTTTGGCTTCCACATAGCTGTAAATTGGAATATAGCCCAATTTTTCAGTAGCACTTTTATATCTAAACAGAAATATTCTCTCTAAACACTGAAAAGGTGGAATTCCCACAAAGAAATTGACTCTATATACTATTGATATGACGCTAAGGATCAAATACAAAATATATAATGAGTTGACGAAAAACCATACTGGCAAGGGCATTGCAATGGGCTTCAATCCAATTTCATTCATAACATCTTCCATGAAAGAACACACGCTTGTTCTAGGAGAACCATCGGCTAGAAAGTACGCTCTCCCTATCGATTCTTTGTCGACTTTGTCTTGATAGAGGTTAATTTCTGCACAAACGAATCCCCATGCAACATTTCCAACATAAACATGTTCAGAAAGTCCTTTTCCGCAATTAATTTGCACGTAAGATCCAAAAGTTTTTGCAAGGAATCCAGTCACCGTTAAGCCTAATGACCTCCATTCTAATTCGCCATACATGACAACTGGCCGCAAAGAAAGCGTTTTCAAACGACTGCCTGTAAAACAATTTGATGATATTGAATTTGCTAAAACAAATATTTTGTCAGATGTAATTGTGGATAACACATCTAAAATATAGCTACTTTCATGTTGTGAATTCATTTCCTCAAGGGTCGTTTTTAAATACTTAATAGCAGCACATGCTTCCAGATTCTTGCTTATTTTCTTGAAAATATTGAACATGTATTTACACATTGCAAACGGCTTCTACAATCCACGTACGAGCTAAAAGATGTCAAAATATGCAAATTATATCTACCTGCGTTAAATAGGTAGTAGGAATATTATTATTAATACTAGTACTGCAGTACAGTCATTAATTGTACATAACATGGACATTATTACTTGAATCTTGAATCTTTTTACTTGTCTTAAAATCTTAGTATTAACTTGATTTACATGTGTAGATAACAGAAACAATAAATGAAATTGTAATTGCCAAAAAGCATTTGCTATATTACAAATTTGTTTATCATATTTTGTTATTAAGAAACAGTGCAACTGAATAGTTAGTATTAGATTATTGCTTCAGTCGTCATCTGAACTATCCTAAATCTCTTCTTCCTAGGTTTTATATTCATCCAAATATTTTTAAACTTGACAGATTAATGAATAGTTGTGATAAAAAGATTCTACTAAAATTATCTTTATTTTGTAAAAACATTATGTTTAAATTAAGACAATTAATACTTCTCATTCTCCGTTCCCATTTGTTAGAATGTAAAATACATGTTGTTTGAATTCAGTAGTTGAATTGTTTATTTAGCTAGCCATAATTGTATTCTTTTATTGTGATATTGGTGATTTTTGCCTGTTATTTTTCTTGTTTGTTTGTTTGTTATAACCAGTTGCATATTATATGCCTTGGTTTAATAAAAAACTGATACTGAAACTAGTTCTTTTAGCATTATAAACAAAGAAACGCCAAGTTAATTATCTATCAATCATCAACTCTATAAAACGCATTAAAAAGTTGGTGTTAACCGCTTACTGTTTGCTTCTAGCACAAGTCGTTCGGCTTCTATTTTTGTTGGACCATAAGGTTTGAAAAGCTGATCAGTTTCTATATCTGTATTTTCTTCAGTACCGTCGTAAATGTTTCTTGACCCAGTCACAACTTCTGCCGAACTACAGTATATAAGACGCTTTACTCCATTCTTTAAACATGCTGCTATAACGTTTTCCGTGCCTTGAACAATATGTTAATAACATCAAGTAATCAAGGATTTTCGTATTTCATGTTGGTATCCATTCTATTCTTAAATGGACCAAGTCCAAGTAAACTTTCAGGTACTAATAATTCAATAACATTTAGATGATCTTTGGTTAAAAGAAATGGACAAACTAAAACAAGAACACAAGGTATGTATTTGCAACAATTTGTAAAATAAGAAATAAGAGCTGTCCATAAAAAAGACGAATGCTTTGAAAAGGTTTCTAAAGTATTGCAGAAATGTATTATGAATAGAAAAATAAAATTAAAATAAATCCTTAAATGCACGACAAAGTTACAGTCCAGACACGAATGTATGTACCTTTCAACTCTGCTTGTAAAAATGTGAAACTTTCACACTGTAAGTTTGACCTTGAACTTTGACTTAGGGATGGGTCTCAGACGTGGACATCGTCATGATGTGTTTGACATTTGTTCTAATTTAAAAAAATCCATGCATGCCAATTCACAGTCCTGACACTAATGTGTACCTTGAACATTTTAATTGTGACCTTGACCTTTCAGGGAGTGACAATGTTCAAAGACGCGACACATCGTCTTGATGTGGTAGACACATGTGCCAAGTTATTTCAAATCCATTAATACATGACAAAGGTACAGTCCACACACGAATGTGATTTTTTTAACTCTTCTTGTGAGAAGGATTACCTACAAACTATCAGGGTAGGGACACATTATCTTGATTTGTTTGGACTTTTGTGTCAGGTTATTTTAAATCCCTCACAAAGTTACGGTCTGGACACGATTGTGTGTATCTTAAAACTTTTATTGTGAGAATGTGAACCTTCAAACTGTAAGCGTGCCCTTGACCTCTGAGGTAGGGACCTTATTCTCAGACGCTACAGATCATTTTGACGTGGAGAACATTTGTGCTGAATTATTTTAAAATCCCTCAATGCATGACAAACTTAGAGCCCGGACACGAATGTTGAGTAAGTGGGGACGCGCGGACAGACAGACGCACGGTGCGATTTTAATATGCCGCTCTTTGTAATTAACAATTATTAAGGAATCACCATTTTAAAAGTAATAATTGGAAATAGATTATTTAGTTTTATTTGACTTAAAAAAACGAGCATAATGTCACTTTAAGTCAAGGGACATGTCAACATACACGCTTATTTTTATCTTAGTTTAATACTTAATTTATCTTAGTTCGATTGTAAAGGCCGCTAGTAGTTCGTAGTCACACTTTTGTTTCTGTTTCCGGAACCAACCAGTACTGGGCAAGCAGTGTAAATGAACCATCTACTAGTTTTCGTTTTTTATTATCAAAATTAATTTTACCTTTAACATTTATCCTGTAGCTCTTTTCTTCGTCTGGAATAAGTGATGTATCCACTATACTTGCCACGTGCATTACACAGTCAACACCCTTACATGCTCTCATTACTAGGTCTTTGTCAGTCACGCTTCCGACATACTGCTTAACGGGTTTTCTTTCAACGTAATCTAAAAATGAAGAATGCAAATTCATTTGACATGCATTTAACTTACCAATGCCTTTTCATATGAAACAACCATTGTTCATATTTACACGGCGGAGGAACTGTTACACGAGGGATGGAGTTCTTATGATAAATTGTCAGGGGTTCTTGTGGTAACGGTAATGGAGTTCGTCGTAAAACTTTTGTATATACTTAAAACACTCGTCAAACATTTTATTTTCATCTTTAAAAAGTTAGTTTCAGGTGCTAAATCAAACTTTAATGATAAAGCTTCCCTTGCATTATGTGTCAAAAACTAACCCAAAGGCCATTTTTCGTCGCCTATTGCTTAAAGTCTGGTAGTTTTGAGTACAATTTCTACATTATTTGCAAATTCGCACGTATGGACCTGTTTATTTCTGGTCTTTATCCTTGCCATACATAGTTACCTAATTATAATGCAAAATTGCAAACATAAAGCTCCGGCTAACAAACTTATACAGCATTATACAAATGTTTGGAGTTTTTTTTTGATAACTCAAAAGATGTTATAGAGTTTTTATGATAACTTTTGTAATTGCCAGTGTATTTCTTGCGCTAAATCACGGCATATTTTAGCGTATTATTCAATAAAGTTGTAAATCATTATGAAATGTAGTACGCTCATCTTCATTAGTGAAGTACATTTTAGTTTCAAGTCTACATTCATGTGCTAAATACTTTTTATAAAAGAGTTGATAATTGTACAACACAGCTTGACAAGAAAGATATTACAAAATCTAAGAAAGGGAAAGGAAAACAGATAATGGTTCTGACAGATTATATTGAAAATCTCAATAGAAAGTTCTGTTCTGAAAACCCTGACTCTAAGATTTCTTTCTCGTCATTAGGAAAAATGAATCCCAAGCATGTTTTAACAGCTTCCTATTTTGATTTGCGCTCATCCGTGCTTTACCCTTGTGTCATCTCCTGTTTTTGTTTGTGATGGGCTCCTTACTGATGGTGCTGGGTTGTATTGGGGGATGCGTTCATTGAAATAAAGTTAATAAGAATCCCTAATGAAAGTCCAAAACAACAAACGTAAAATATGATAAACAAGATCAACAAGGAAAGGCTGCGTTCAATAAACGCAACCCCCACACCACCCAGCAACAAGAACCAGTGGCAAGGAGCCCAGACGGACCCCAAACAAAAATGGGACAGGGCACAAGGTACAGCACGGACAGGCTAGTCACTAAAATGATAAATAATTTGTAACTGAGAAAGGTTCATGTCTATGTTTACCTAAATATCGTATCTAATGACATACATTATCAAGCTGAACTGACGTACAATGTGTAATTAATAAAGTTTGTACTCGTATACTGATAACATACGAACTGTCCGTCATTTGATTTTGATATATCACTAATTGTGACCATATTATTATGATAGTATATCAGATTTTAATCTGATTGACCTTGAATTGGTTACTTTGATATGGTATTTCATCTAAGCAGGTTTTAAAACTTGACGTTAAAAGCCCATTATGTTTTAGGAATGCTATCATTTTTATTTCTCAAAACCTTTATATTTTGTATCTTGTTACAGTTTCCTATGTGGAAAAATAGATAAATACAGAATCCCTAAAGAAAGCCCAACACGACAAAATTGAAAATGTTGCAGGCTCAGTTTGATTGAGCCTGTTCATGGACGGTACTGGAAAGTGCAAGTTACCGTCCACGCCCCCTAGCACCGGCTTAAGCAGAATTCAACATTTAAACATGAAATAGTAAAATTTTGAATTTAGAAACATCCGCAGATATATTCATTCAGCGGTTATCATGGAACCTTCAATGTGACACTTCCGTGCCATTCCATGAAAAGCGGCGTATGGTCCCCATGTAATAAAATGCGTGTGCCCTAAACGAGAAAACAATGGGCGGAACTAATTAAAATGGTATTTTGAAAGGGGATCAGAGGTTATGAAGCCTGCATATCACAGATAAGACGTCAAAAGACAAATTTAAAAAGCAGGCAACATATCCTAAGGGTGATTCAACATTATTCAAGTAGGAATATTGGAACCACCCAACTAGAAAATGCCGAAAAGTTGAAACTAAAAATACCACAAGCACAACAATAATGTCGTGCTGAACGATCTTCAAGGATCGAAAATATAACAACATTGATTAAATGTACGGGGAGACTTTTTACAGCCGCCACACGGCACAAATAACACGGATGTGACCATAAAATAGATAAATACAGAATCCCTAAAGAAAGCCCAACACGACAAAATTGAAAATGTTGCAGGCTCGGTTTGATTGAGCCTGTTCATGGACGGTACTGGAAAGTGCAAGTTACCGTCCACTTGTGGAAGTCAAAATACCACTTTTGTACATTCTGTTACCTTTATGGGACATTACCGGGCATTCAATGCTACTTTTTTCACTTCTTAAACATCTAATATGATCTAAATACATTAATCAAACATTATTAAACACATTTAAGAATTAAAAAATATGGAGTTCTGCCGTATAACGTGCCTTTAAGCATTTAGTCTGAATGAGACCATAAGGTTTTTTCCACACCCATCACATTTACCTTTGACACTAACATCATGGTATGTCCATCAAAAATTCAAGTTTGTTTCCAGATTTTTTTACTTCAACTTTCCGCCCTTTGCCAACCATATTTGAAGAAAAAATAATTATCATTTTCGATAATGAAAATCACATACTGATATAATACTTGAACAATATTTAGACTTCCATAATTTAATTTGCTTATACAGTTTCTAAACTCTTCGAAAAAAAGTTTACTTTATTTAATGTGTTTATTCCACATTAAAATCAAATATGTACTTTACACGACTTTCCAACAGATGTGACAGAAATAGCGTTCATTGAACGCCGCCCTTCCTTGTTGGCCTTGTTTATCATGTCTTAAGTTATAATGATGTCTATGTGTATATTGCAAAGTGCTCAGCGAATTCTCAAATAAGACTGTTAAGATTATCAAAAGCAGGCATGCAAGTCAACGTTAAACGTGCACATAAATGCGGTGATACGGGGCGTGGACGTTAGCTTGCATTTACTAATACCGTCTATGGACAGTCTTACTCAAACCGAGCGCGCAACTTTTAAGTTTGCCGTTAAGGACTTTCAAAAGGGACCTCCCCTTTTTTCTATTTTTTATAGAAACGACCTTTGTTTGTATAATAAATGAGTGCTTTAGATGAGAATCGGGCATTAAGAGCAAATATGCATGAATTATTAATCAACGACGGAAATAGCACAATGTGTTCACTTTTTTTGTTTTGCTGTCTTGGATAAGAAGGGAACATAAAAAGAGAAAAAGATACATCCAAGTACTTTATCTAAATGTGACATCATACATGATATACATGTACATGTATATCTGCACGTAAACTACATTAAAGCAAAATGCCTCCAGATTCATGCTAAATATCATGAAAATTTTGAATAACTATTTAAAAGTAAAATTTTGTGAAATGAACGAAAGACGTAATTTACACTTTGCAAATAGCACTTACAATCCACGTTTATTACTAAAAAAGAGGTCAAAATATACATAAATATCTTTTACTACGTAAGTAACGCTGTAGAATTGTAGCGATTGATATTGCAAAATCAGTCATTAATCGCACATAGCATGTAAATGTAAAAAATTAATTAAATATTGAATATTTTTACTTTTCTTAAGATCTTAATACATTTTCTAAAGATTGAATATCTTAAAATATTTTGGCTAATCTGGAGGTGTGCAGCTTTAAGGTAGAAGAAAGAAAGCTATATGTTGTTTTGTTTGGTTTTACGGCCCACAAACACAATGTATATGGCGCCAAACAGGAAAAATGATTTTGACTAACCTCAGGTGTAACAAACTTAAAGCAACACCAGCGGTCAAAATTACCTCACCTGCAAAAGCTAAGAAATACATACTGAAGATTATAGTAATTCCAACCTATTTAGTCGCCTCTTAAGATCACACAGGGATAAACAGTGGCTGCAACTCTGATGTCTCAAAAAGGCAACCACTCAGGAATAAACGTACTGTATAGTAAACTGTAATTTAAAACTTTTCTTTGTCTAATCAATGTATTTTACTAAATTTTAACAAATGGGTTAAAACTGAAATAAAAATGTATACTTAAATTATATGTTAACACTTACCAAGTTTATTTTCATATGGAATGACATCAAGAACTCTTATTTCAGTCACGTGATCTGCACGGTCTTGAAGTAGTCCCACGATATGTTGTCCTAAAAATCCAGACCCCCCTGTTACCAGGACAACACAGCCTGTAGAGGAATCCATTCGTCGTTAGTGCACTAGTTTAATATATAAAAGTAAACAGAAGCTGTATCGGTGTCCGGATTAGTATTGAATGTCAACAGTAACATTTGAACGTTGCACGGTTATTTGTGAAAACCGGTATATAATTAATCAAGTGCACGTGGTATGTCCAATAATATACAACATTGTACAGACAGAGATAACGTATACGCTGATAACAGAAGTCGAACAATTATTGATCAGACTATTTATTGTGACTGTTTACAGACAAAATCAATTTCAATTTACCTACAACGCAGTCGACAAAACACACACTAAAGGAAATGTCTTTAAAAAAACGTTCATGTATATATCATACTAATAGTCGATAATTAAATGTAGCGTGAATTAATTTCTTCCTCGGCTAGCTAGCTTAAAGTAAATAATTGATGAATATTTCATATCTTACACAAAATAAGCGCTAATCAGCGTTTCATTATCCAATTTCTGTCATATCAATTTGATGGTGATTTCAGTAGTTTACCCTCCAGACCAAGCGGTAAACCACTTTGGAATCATCAGAAGACAGGTCAGTCACCGCATCGTTCCTGGGCAAACTGTCAAGTAGTTTACCAGTACTAGATGCCTTCAATTCTTCAAGGACCTGATATGCATGCCAGATCATCTGCATCGTACAAAAAACTTTAAGAGTTAAAAAGTTTGGTTGCATATTTAGTAAACGTTTCAAAACGAAAAAAATATTGCAGGCCGCAATCTTCACACATCTCTATTTTGCTATATTTCACCCTAGTGTATGTCATGAAAATACATGTAAATATCGCGTGCGAACCTAATGATAACGATTTCTTGTGGTCTGCACTTTATCTAAAGGGATTAATAAACATAATTTTTATTTCTTTTCTCTGAATTTTTAATCAAATATCATATTAATTTTCTTGAAATGACTACACTAAGCAATCCCAGGAACAGAAACAAATTCTCCTTATAAAGTAAAAACAGGTTGTTCTAGTGGGCCACGTTAAAACATTTAGTTTTCGCGCTTAATATATCGCAGTGTATTACGGGGCTTCAAGTGAACGACTTAAACATGTATCAAACTAAACCCATACGCCATGGTTGTTATTTTAACTTCGGAGGCTTGTTCTAATCAAATGATGTGTGTTTGAATATAACTCGGTGAATACGTCTATATTTTAATTTCGTTTAAGATAAGTTCATATAATTACGTTCAAAACCGTATTATATGTCTTTATAGACAAATATGCTGAAAATTGATTTTGTTTCTTTTATAACGTGACATGAGTGATAAGATCAATTTAATGTTGTTTCTTTGTCATGCATTTGCCTGTGTATCCTTAACATTCATCTGTTCACAATGACTGTCCTATTGTTATGTACAAGACATTTGTATTTTTTCTAAAATAATCATGTCCTTTTTTAATAAAAATATATTCTTAGTCAGACTTTATTAACAGATAATCACTTTACACAGGTACTTTTTCAGAAAACAACATCATCAACAAAACAAATAAATAAATAAAAACACACGAATTTCTACAATTTCTAGTGTCCTTTATTTACACGAAAAGTTAAACTCCAAACTCTATTAATCATTATGAATACGTATTGTTGTTACCTACCCTATGTCCATTCCTCGAGCAATTTGCTCAGTTTCCGTGTTTTTGTATATCTTTAGATTGTGATCAACTGACAAGATGCTGTGTTGCTTCAGATCAGAAACTTGTATGAAATTTGCAGCACACGAGAAGTGTCCAATTCACCGAAGGCTCCCGATCTGATAATCACTGGATTACCTTATACTTGATCAAAAGCAATGAGATTGTTTTCAATTAATTTAATAGCAAAGCTCAATATTCAGATTCACATAGGGTTCTCTCGATTTTTTCACTCTCTCTATAAATTGTTATAAATACAGAGTGATAAAGGAAACAAGTCGAACTCTTAAACCTTAACTTACTGGAGCCGAAAGTGTTTAACATATACCACTAGTAAAAAACCAGGTCAGACCGCACATCAGACATATACCACCAGTAAAAATCCCAGGCCAGACTGCACATCTAACAACAGTCAGACCACGCTCTATATAAACTTTTAGTAGCTTTTGGTTTTCTTTGTATTTTGATATTGAAATCCCTAGAACTCTAAAAGACTACTCCAGATTCAAACAGGTACAAATGCATTACAAAAACTCAGTCAGTAAGTTAATGTTAAACATGACCGCCTTATTACTGCGACAGTCGGTAAACAATGATATAGATAACGTTGAATAGTCAACATAAATGATAGCGCAATCTATAATATGTAGACAAAAACATGTCGTTACATTTGTGCAAAGATATGTAGTTATGCAAATCTAATTATGATATTTCGTGTGAGATAAAGGGTACAAAAAGGTGAAGAATGTAAATGTATTACCAAAATAATTTTGAATTAAATTCTAGAATGGTAATATAAATATCTCTAAACCAGGAACATACTCAAAATAAATGTACCTTACTGTTTATTTGATTATTTGATTTATGCATGACGCTAAATTTACCTAAACTCAATATTACTTATACATTGTTTAATGTAAGAATTATCAGAACAGAACAAAATCCAAGAAAAACTATAAATTTAAAATGTCAATATTTAAAAACTGGCAAACATAAATGAGCTTTTGTCTAAGCTCACCAAAAATCAATGACATGAACCAAAACATGTATACAATATCAATAATTATTACTAGTCAACAAATCTTAAAACCAACGAAGAAGGTAGCAAAATCGATAAATCAATGAAAAAGGTAGTAAAATCGTAAAATCAATGAAGAAGGTAGCAAAATAAAAAATCAAATGGAATCTCAAAAAGGCAAAAATAACGACAAGAACACCATATCCACTAGTCTGCTACTTTGAAAGAAAGGAAGATAATTTCTTCAAAGAAGGTGTGAAGCCTGCAATAGCACTAAAATAAACTTAAAGATGTATGCCAACCACATCAATTTGTTTTAAACCTTATAATTCACCAAAAAGTAAAATAGCCGAACAAGCATGACATTCTCTAAACCTATTTTTAATCATATTAAATAAACATCCTTCGTATTCAAACACGAACCCAAACGAGATTGAGTATACCCAACAAAATTTGTATCTGTTTAAAGTAACCAAATTCTTTTCTAACCAGGATGAAACTAAAGATTTGATTTATGTTGATGTCTGTTAGTTTTTCAATCTTAATGGTCATAGAAGGGATATTGCATAAAACACCTCGAACACCATAGTGTCAAAAGGAAGACAAGCTTTATCTAAAGCCTTTTCAATACCAGATAGAAAAAAGCTCTCTTAATAAAAAAAAGCAAAATGAGCTAAATCCATTTTCTCAACACCATCTAAGTTATCACACACACACACACACACACGCACGCACGCACACACGCACGCACCAACACACACACCAACACACACACACCAACGCACGCACACCAACGCACGCACGCACACAGACGCACGCACGCACCACGAACGCACGCATGCACGACAAATTTGAACATCATAAAATCAAAAGCATTTGTCCCTCTGACATATGAGTTGATGAACTTAACTCCAGTGCATAAGACTAAAGAAAACATATTTTTTCCAAGTGAAACCAACTACATAAATAACTGGATGGACAAATAATTATATATCTATAAGCACGATGCAGATCTAACTTTAAACATTAACAACAGTCTTTGGCTTTGGCCTTAATAAGAGACTTAAAGTCATCTATTGGAGGATATACCGGTTCAACATATGAACTAAGATATTCATCCTTCGAAACAAAATCATTAACTCCTGATCAATCCTTGAGAAAATTCAAATCCAGAATAATACACCTCTCCTTAGGATTAGACTTCATCGGAAAAAAGTAGCATACCACTAACAAACGGACACGAGCTAAAAGGCTCAATAGTTGAAGGTTGTAGGATTCCTATTAATGATAGGATAGATACGTTGTTTATAAGAGAATAACATGTAAACATTGTGACCTTGTAACAATAATATATTGTTGTGTAATTTGTTAAGACTGGGATTTTCAATTGATGTTTCTTTAGAAGATCAAGGAATTTTATTTAATAAAGCACCCTATAAGAGGAATTTAGCTGGTGTTTTCGCTTTTCCGGAACATATATTGACCAATTTACAAAAAAATGCTTCTTAATGAGTACAAACACAGTTTATAACGGAGTCTTCGACAACAGTGTATTCATCAACTTTGGGATAAGTAATTACTTTTGGATTTCTACAAATACTTAGCAAGAGAATATCGACCAAACCGATTAAAGAAAAAGATTATTTTGTGCATTATCAAAAGATGACTTTTCCCAACTACCATTAAACTGGCATGAGGACAAGCAGAATTCCTGGACTGATAATTTCTTCATATTTGTTTGTCAATATGTAGCAAAAATATGTTTTGCAAACCGGATTTTACTCCCCTTCATTGCAATTTATGAGCTGATGTTTGTGGACATTTGTTCCATGGTATTTGTTTCAAAACCAACCTTTGTAATCTTCACCTCCAACAGCACTTGTGTTTTGCCGGGGAAGATCAAAAGATGGTTTGGGACGCAGCTGCTCAAAATCTACATTTCTAAAAAGATTAGCTTTGTGTCTAGCAAGCAGTGAAAATTCCACATAATGAAAATCATCACCCTATTTGCGGTGACCTAATTCGATTTCTCTTCTGAAGGTAGCATAAAGTGATTTAACAACGGACAAATCACAAATACTATCGTGGATTGACGTGTAATCGATACTGACCTGAATTCGATACTTTATGTTTTTTGTTTACCGCGACACCGCCGGAAGTGCAATGACGTCACACGGGATTTCATAAAACTACCTAGTTCCTAACTTTAATCGAACACTATAAAATTTTGCAAAATGCGCAAGAAAAACGTAAGTTTATTTACTTTTAAAAATGAAATGAATAAAACTTAACTTTTTACTAATACTTTTGTTACATGTTTCAAAATTAAAAGCTCTATGAATAATAATTTTGCAAATAAAGAAAAAAGCTTCATGGGGGGTCCTGCATCGTCTGCTATCTGAGGTCACATGATCGTCATGTGATTTCCATGGTCTATAAATAAGTACAG